AACCCGGAGGTAATCGGAGTGGTAGCAGTTGTCAACAGCAAGCATCTAGTGGCTAGGCTAACCGCACAACAGAGACAAATTCTTGATATCCATCTCACAAACACAATCAAATCCTCGAAATAAAGTACGAGGGAAGCGCCGAATGCCACGCGTCAGTGTTTATCAGTGTGGAGTAACTAATGCGAAAAACTTACTAGGAAAGGCAATGTAACTGTACTTCTCGACATCATACTGAAAGATAAAGTTTTTCAAATTCTTTTTTCTAGGCAGGGTTGTTTTTTAGGTGTGAGAATTACTAATGCGAAATGAGAAAACCTACCAACAAAAAATACATCATACTTGGTGTTGCGTACGGAATACATTCCTGTAGGTGTTGTTAATTTTGACCACTCATCCACAGGCACGCGATATGAATCATAGAAATATAATAATGGTAGTTCCCGCTCTTTCCCATCATTCTTCAGTCCCTGTCTTCTTCCGTTTGCTAAAATTTTAACAATACCACAACATTTCAATTCATGAAAAAGCCCATACTTAACTGGGGTTCACTGAAAATAGAAAATCTATTTTTTTTTTGTTTGCATTAAAAAAAAAACGCTGAAAATGTCCGTCTCTGGCACTCCAGTACAGGGAACAAATGAAACAGCAAAAATTCAACAGAATCGTAAATAAGTGAACGAGAAAAAAAAATTGAAAAATTAGTTGGTAGAACTACCCATGTATTATTCGAACTACATTTCAAAAAACAAACGGAGAATTTGCAAGTAAAAATAATTTCAACATTATTATTTTAAATTTTAAAACACGGAAGTAGGCAACATAGGACTGAAGGCCTGGCATAGATGCACTCGGCGTATGGGAACATCCTAGTAACATCACTAATAGAGGAATTCTATAATGAGCGTACAAGTATTCGTGATATATTTAGCATTTTAAAACAAACTTCAACTGTTTTTCTTAGTCCAGTCCGCTTAATTGTAAGGTACTGCATCGTAGACGAGGAATAGCAATGTTTAAAACAAAGTGGTGATGCTGAGCTTATGCTAGCATTACTTCGAGACTGCTAAAGTCCCTCCACGTAGTTCTGTGGGGAGGAACGTTGAATTATCCCTTCAGAAGACAAAACGAATGTCAAAGTCGCCAGCAAGGTGACCACCGGGCGATGTGGTTCTGGTGAAAGGCATCAGGAAAAGTTGCCAGCTGCAGAGTCGAAGAACCAATCCCCCAATATGTAGTTGGTTAAAGCAGCAAAATAATTCAAAAAATTACCTGATTTCCACTTTAACCTATACAAAGCCGGATGGCTGCCGTAATGATCAATTATATATTTAATATTGGCAAAAAGAGATTCTGCATTTCTTCCTGCATAAGGCTCCATATGAAAGGACAGTTTCATCCGATACTCCTCCGTGATATTCAATAGCAATGGGATCAAATCATCCCACGGATGTCCTGGAAAAATTTATGCGGCTCAGTTCGGTGATGATGATACGCAAATTACAGCACTGAACAATTCCTAGGCATTACTGTGCAAAAACGAGTGCTCTCAACGATCTCCCAATACCAGCCGCTAATTATTAAATACGAAAACAGTTTGATAAGCCAAATGCATGTACAAAAAGTAAATCATTTTCAGTACCTTCCTCATCGGCAAGCCCCGGAGGATACCAGGAAACAACA